ACATGTGGATCGTTGTCATTTTTGTATAGGTAGCTCAAATGATGCTTTTGACATAACTAAATAACAAGTATATAAATCAGGATCACATTTCCATAATTAATGAGGAGATCCTATAAATGTGCTGTGTTCTATGATATGACTTAAGAGAGACAGATTCAGTATTGAATATATAATCGAAGATGTAATTTGCATAATTAATGACAAAATTAATAGTGGTATCTGCCGGCAATTTCATACTTGCCACATTTGGAAGTTAAGTGAAGGTGAAAGTCATTAAAATTAGATTATTCAAATCAAAACCTCATTTGCATAATACATAACGAAGTGCCAGAATAGTCTTTGTTAAGATAAGACTGTCATTGGTTAGTAAATACGATCAACTGACGTTATTCATTCAAATGAGGATCGTTAAAACTTTCAGGTTTAAAAACATGGTGAAGCCAAAAGAATGGGACATGATGGGAAAAAGAACTCTCTTGACGCTGGACTTGTCTTGTGAATATGGTAGTGATTTCAAACCTCTGGCTCAACTACCCGAGGAAGTGTTTGAACTACAGGAATTGGAGGCTTTAGACCTGACAAACAACAGGAACATCGATCTCTCCCATCAGCTGACCAAACTGACAAATCTAAAAGTGTTGTGTTTAGATGACTGTAACCTTAAAACAGTTCCCGCTGCCGTGATGAAACTTCCGCAGTTAGAAGCGCTGATCCTCAGTAACAACGACAGCATCACCCTGCCGGATGAGATGTCGGGTCTCATCAACCTCACTGTCCTGGACTTACAGAACTGTAACCTTAAAACAGTTTCCGCTGCCGTGATGAAACTTCCGCAGTTAGAAATGCTGATCCTCAGTAACAACGAGAACATCACCCTGCCGGATGAGATGTCGGGTCTCAGCAACCTCACTGTCCTGGTCTTAGACAGCTGTAACCTGGACACACTACCGCCAGTTGTGCTGAAACTAACAAGCCTACAGGTGCTGGATTTAAGTGAAAATATGCAGCTCTCCCTACCAGCTGAGTTGAACGGACTGAACAACTTGAAAGTTTTGAGACTACGTGACTGTAACCTGGACATCGTTCCCCCGGCAGTACTGAAACTCCCCCAGCTGGAGGAACTGGACCTCATCGGGAACAGCGAGATCCACCTGCCGGATGGGCTGGCCGGACTCACCAACATCCGGGTACTGAGACTAGCGGGAACAGACATGGTCACCGTTCCACCGGTAGTCCTGAAACTCCCCCAGCTGGAGGAACTGGACCTCAGCAGGAACAGCGGGATCCACCTGCCGGATGGGCTGGCCGGACTCACCAACATCCGGGTACTGAAACTATGGGGAACAGACATCGCCACAGTTCCCCCGGTAGTTTGCAGACTGACACAGTTAGAATGGCTGGACTTGAGCGGTAACAAACTGGAGACGTTACCCGCGGAAATCGGACAGCTCACTAACGTCAAACACTTGGCTCTGTCCCACTGCGAGCTGCGCACACTCCCACCTGAAGTGTGGAGACTGACACAGTTAGAATGGCTGAACCTGATCGGTAACCAACTACAGACGTTACCCGCAGAAATCGGACAGCTCACTGACGTCAAACACTTGAATCTGTCCCACTGCGAGCTGCGCACACTCCCACCTGAAGTGGGGAGACTGACACAGTTAGAGCGGCTGGACCTGACCTACAACCCGCTACAGACGTTACCCGCGGAAATCGGACAGCTCACTAACGTCAAACACTTGGCTCTGTCCCACTGCGAGCTGCGCACACTCCCACCTGAAGTGTGGAGACTTGCACAGTTAGAATGGCTGGACCTGACCTACAACCCGCTACAGACGTTACCCGCGGAAATCGGACAGCTCACTAACGTCAAACACGTGTATCTGTCCGGGTGCGAGCTGCACACACTCCCGCCTGAAGTGGGGAGACTGACACAGTTAGAGCGGCTGGACCTGAGCGACAACCAGCTACAGACGTTACCCACGGAAATCGAGCAGCTCACTAATGTCAAACACTTGGATCTGTCCAGGTGCAAGCTGCGCACACTCCCACCTGAAGTGGGGAGACTGACACAGTTAGAATGGCTGTACCTGAGCCGTAACCAACTACAGACGTTACCCGCGGAAATCGGACAGCTCACTAATGTCAAACAATTGGATCTGTCCGACTGCGAGCTGCGCACACTCCCACCTGAAGTGGGGAGACTGACGCAGTTAGAATGGCTGTACCTGAGCCGTAACCAACTACAGACGTTACCCGCGGAAATCGGACAGCTCACTACCCTACATCATATGGACGTTAGTGACAACCCACTAATAAAGCCACCAACTGAAGTTTGGAGTCAGGGGATCACTACTATCAGGCAGTACTTTCACGAACTTGAACGCTCGGAAGAGATAAGTGCTCGTTTGAAAGTTGTTGTCTTGGGAGAGAAAATGGCGGGAAAAACAAGCCTGGTACGGACGGTAGACAGTGGCAAGTCCACCCTGACAGAAGAAGAGGAGCGCACACACTGTGTAGAGATAACTCAGTGGGCACCTGATGACAACATCACGTTTGAAGTGTACGACTTTGGCGGCCATGACGTGTACCATCTCACTCATCAGTCCTTCCTGACTCCGGATGCCTTTTACCTGTTATTAGTGAACCTGCAGACATACAGCTGCAGTGAGGAGAGATACACAGAAGCCGTGGGGTTCTGGTTGGACACACTGAATGCCCGCGTGCCGGGGGCGGTGGTTACAATAGTTGGTAGCAAGATGGACATGTGCAGTGAGGCAGAAATAATTGATAACATGAAGGACATCAAAGTAAAGATCCAACAGCAGATTGACACATGGAAAAGTAGTACAGAGCGCCGAATAAAGAAACTCAATCAAAGAAAGGCTGAAAGCGAGGAGGAACATAGGGAAATAGAGAGGCAGTTAGAACGCACACAAAGCCTCCTGAAACGCTCATTGCGTCTGATTGGAATGTTCTACATCAGTTCTGCAGGACGAACATCTGGGTTGGACTCACTAAAGAATCACATACTGGAGTCAGCAAACAATACTGATCTGTTTCCTACGCTTAGAAAGATCCTCCCGCGGACATGGATGGAGTTTGAACAGCAGATGCACCTGCTACGTGACAAGGGAACAGAGACACGTGAATTCCCTAGAGGAGACGACGATGACTCGACAACTCTGCATCTTCAAAATAAAAAGAAACCAATGTGGCTGACGCGAACCGACTGTTTGCAGCAAGGGCAGCTTGCAGGTCTCACGGCGGACAGACTGGAGCCAGTCCTGTCTTACCTGCAGCAGGTGGGAACCATCCTCAGGTACACGGACATACCGGAACTCAAGGACCTGGTCTTCCATGATCCTCCCGCCTTGATTGAAATCTTCAATGATATCTTCCATCACGACATCGAGGAACTTTTCAAAACGCCCAGAGTAAAGAATGCTGATTTTACTCGCACACAGCTCGAGGGTTTTCAGCAAGATCTGCGTGACTGTGGACTGATCCAGAAGAAGGTGATGACGTACATGCTACCACCCAACATCGATCCTGACATTGTTACAGCTCTGATGCTGCATTTTGGTCTTTGCTTTGAATTGAAAGCCAAAGAAAAAACAGACATTCGTCAGTACCAAATACCTTGGTACCTAGAGAAACAAATGCCAGAGGACTTGAAAGATGACTGGCCAGATGACGTATCAGAGGAACAAGAACAACTGCAGCTGATGTGCAACATCACAGGATTCTGTCCCCGGGGACTGTTTCAGAGGTTCAGTGTTAGGATTCATCCACTTGTCGAGGACAGGATAGACTGGAAAGATGGAGTCATGGCCTACAGACAGGACTACCCCGTACTAGTCTGTTCCAAACCTGCTGCAGACGACACGTACATCACCATGGCAACCAGAGGCAGGCTTGCCCAGGCAGATGAGATGTGGGGCGTGGTCCACCCACTGCTGGATGTGCTGGTCCAGCTGCTACAGGAGTGGCCAGGTGTGCTGTACTCCCTCCACGTCACCTGTGCGCACTGCATCAAGGCAGGACTGGACAGGCCGTACCAGCACGAACTGAGGGACCGGACTGCAGAGGACGGCCGTGACGTCAGGTGTCCCAGGGTCAAGAATACAGCATCAACATCAGCAGACCTTGTGTACAGACCAGCCAGACTCACTGGTATGTTTGTATTTCATTATCAGAAGGGAATCTTTTATATTTATCTTGTTCCTCACCAAGAATCATGAAGATCATGAAGAACCATGCACACATAGCGAATCTATAACCTATTTTGTTTAAAACCGTTTCTAAGCTCTTGATAGAATAATCTCCTGAATTGCTTCAGAGTGAAATACTTAAGAAGCAAAATGACAATGTCGGATAAAATGGTTAATCTCTTCATTCAGGACACGGCGGTGTTCCGCTCGAGATACAGCTGCGGGGTCCTGCAATGCAGCAGCTGTACTCTGAGGCCTGCCGCCAGGGGGCGCAACGGGTGTACAACGTGCGCGGGCTCGTGGTTGGTCAGTTCAGATCCGGGAAGACGTGTGTCGTCAGGAGGCTGACGGGAGAGAAGGCTGTGGAGAATCAACCGATAACAGACGGCATCGAGATTATACCCAGCGTGAAGACCAAGACTTGGCGGAAAGCAAAAGGTCAGGAAAACGTAATGTTATCTATCATATGTCAAGAAATTAGATATAGATGATAGTCTATATAGATTGTTTGGACCCTTGAGTACATGTCATGCAATAATATATAATTATTTTCAGACATTTACATACTTTTGAAAACAGTACAATAAAAGAACCCTCGGCTGATTCACACGGTATATGACGTCCTTTACTTACAGAAGAGCCTGACGAATTCAAGGAAACCATGGCAGAACGCTTAGCGGAACAACAAGAACGGATCAAACTACGGACTCAGACATCGTCACGAAGCCAAGGAGTAGTCCGGCTACAGAGCAACAGGAAAGACCCTACAGGTATGCAAAAACGTTCACGTGTCCATGAAAATTATAACAATCTTAAGAGAGACAGTTAGTACCATGAAAGCACAGAAAATGAGCATATAGATTCTGGTATGGTTCCATCTGTATGAATACCCTTACAAATCACTAGGAAGAAATGAAGCACCAGTGGTATCTAACTGATTTCCTCTTATCCATACAAGACGCTGGAAAAGCAGAAGAACAACAAGGGAAGCAAAAGCAACAAAAGGAGCCGCTGATAAAGGAGGCACCGACGGAAGGTCGAGAGACACCAAGGCCGGAAGATGAAAGTGAGAAACGCCTTTAGCCAAAGTTATTAAATATCTACATCTCTCAGCCAGTTAAGAATACACACGTAATTTGCTCTTGATGCAAGGGCATAGGGGCCAAAATATGCATCTAGAAAAGTCTAGAAAAGCCAAATGTCCCTAAATGCATATATATAATTTTGAAGTTGTGTATGCCAGATTTCTAGGCAAATCAGTGTTTAACTAGAGAAGTAACACTTGCAAAGCAAATGCATTATAAGCCCAAAATATGAATTCACAGAAAAAAAAACTAAAATTATTTAATTTAAAAATCCTGTATGAAAAACATATATTTGCCACTCTACCCCCATACGAACTTTCCGGTCATTTGGCCCCAAAAAGAAGTTGGATCCATTTAACGAAGTGGCAGGAGAAGGAGGAGAAGAAACACGAGGAAAAACATTCCCTATATGACATGACAAATAAAGTTTATGTTCCAGGGAAAGAAGGTATAAGCAGGACTACGTCACCACAAACACAAGCTCAACAACAACTCCAGCATCCAACACATGGGATTCCGGATGATGAGCACCTTCAGGGTGCCGTAAGGGTTCATCAGAAAACACAGGACATTCCGGATGATGTCATAATAAAAGCCAAAGAGCGACTCCAAAGTGTCGTGACCGAGGAGCAGCTTGGAACAGCCGAAAACCCGCGTATCTCCTTCTGGGACTTCGGCGGCCAGGCCACGTACTACGGCTCGCACCAGTGTTTCTTCACGTACCGCGGGATCTACATCCTGGTCATGTCACTGCTACAGAAGCTGTCCGACCCAGTTCCTGATCTGGACTACAAGGCGGCAGCGGACAACCTCGTAACTGGAAGAGGCACGTACCACTTCTTTAACTGTAAACCTACTTGGTGACAAAGTAATCGGTTTTGATTGGAAACATCTATAGGAGGATGGTCAACTTGAAAGCTTGAAATTGAAGTTACGTGTAAATCACATAAAGACGTTTTGCAAAGCTGAAATGATGAGGAAAAATAAGCTATTTTGTGCAAGAGGGGGCCAACTTGTTAAGATGTCAATACACCTGCTTTGCCCTCCCTTCCACTTGTACTTTTATACTTGTGGTAAATTCGAATAAATAAATGAAATTATTACTGCCTACTTGTGTAGACTACTTGGACCACTGGCTGAACTCTGTCCACACCCACGGCCTGGTGCCCGGGCAGGAAGAGAAAGTTCAAGAGCCGCGTGTCATCTTGGTTCTCACACACAAGGACAAAGTCAGCGAGGTATGTAGAATATTTACATATTTCTTCAAAGGTGTTAGAAAAAGAAGTTGAACTTGTGTTTGCCCTGTAGTTCATATCAATCACTGAAAGGATTTGCCAATATTGCTTTAAGGATTTGTGCTATTCATTTCAGTTTTACATAGAGAAGTACAAGAAAGACATACGTGATCACATCAGTGGTATGGCTGCCGGTAAGCACGTCTTGCCAAAGATATTTGTCATCAACAACTTCAGCGAGGACAACAGCGACATTGAGGATCTCCGAGAATACCTCCGTGAGGTGGCGAAGGATTTGTCGTTCATGGGAGAGGAGGTGCCGATGACTTGGCTTCATCTGAAGTCCAAACTGATGGAAAAGAGTAGAGAGGGTGACCCATTCTGCCGCTTTCAAGATGTCGTCGATCTGGCCCGGAGTGATGACGTGGGCATCACGGACGTCAGCCATGTTGCCGACATCCTGACCTTCCTACACGACCTTGGTGACATCATCTTCATTAACGAACCCGTTCTTCGTGACCACGTGACCCTTCGACCCCAGGTGATGATTGACGTCTTCAAGACCATCATCACAGTCCCGGAGTACCAACAGGGCAGGAGCACCGATGGGGAGGTTGCTGAGATGTGGAGGAGGCTGGAGACCGAAGGTATTCTCAGTGACAGGCTGTTGAAAATCATCTGGACTAAAGCAGATCAGAAGATGAAAGATCAGAAGATGAAACCCTTCCATCTCGAACACAAGGACTTCCTGAAGCGACTAATGGAAAAGTACTACCTCCTCTGCAACGCCACGCCGATCGGTGGGTTTGATGAAGAAGAGATCTACTTCGTACCATCTCTCCTGGCCGCAGAGCCTGACTACAACACCTTGTATCCTGGGCACATGAGGAGACACCAGCATCCTCTCTATGTCGTATTCGACAACATGTTCCTCCCAAGTGGTATGTTCTATCGTCTACAGGCGATCTGTGTACGTAGGTTCGGTCTTGAAGAGTCTCACGTGTTCGCCGGCTGCGGTCGTTTTCCTACCAACGATGAAAAGCAACAGTTCGTGGTAACCAAAGTGAAGCACTACCTGAAGGTGGAGCTTCTGTGGGCTGAAGTTGAGGAGCAGCCAGTGTTCACACAGGGTCTTCCCGTCAGAAAGTTCCTCAGCAGTTGTCTCTTCGAGATCAAGGAGAAGTGGATCCCGTATATCCAGTATGACTGGTGCTTCGGGGAGGAGTCAGAAGAAAAAACCGGAACACCAGCATTCTGCCCGCTCTCTGTCAACGAACAAGAAGCGGCAACAGGATCCAGTAGGTGAGGCAAGATATACTGCTAGGTAGTAGATACCTTTTGTTCTCGGGAAAAGTTAAGGGCCCCTAACAGAATGATCGTATATATATGTATATATATATATGTATACATATATATACGATCATGCTGTTAGAATGATCGTATATATATGTATATTATATATATGTATACATATATATACGATCATGCTGTTACGGGCCTTAA